TACAGACGACAAATTCATAGGTTTATATATTTGTGCAAGGTTATAGCCATATAATGTGTTTAAATCAAAATACCAGTCTGTCTGGGTTTAAATCTCATGCCCTTTCTACCACTAAACCACCTCACCCTTGACACTGGTGTGCCTGGCACTGGAAGCTCATTTCAATCCTTGGAAGCTCATTTCAATTCTTGGCCTTCTCTATCTGCCCAACTCTTTCATTCAACTTCATTTCACCCACTTCTACACCATAAATACGTTGGTCCATCATAACAAGTCTACTTAGTACAATTCCTCTATATACACTTAATTATGTAAAGTCATCATCAGAGTATCTTGTTAAAATGCAGATTTAGATTCAGTAGGTTTGGGATAGTGCCTAAAACTTCGCATTTCTAACAAGTTCCCAGGTGATGCCAATGCTGCTGGTCTGTAGTTCACACCTGGATTATAAAGTACTAGAGCATCCTTTGCCTGTGTGCCTTTGATCCTTCCCTTGGCAAAATGTCCTTCACTTCTCTTCTTCCTATTTCCAATAAGAGTATCACCTTCACTTCAATACCTTTCCCAGCTCTCCAGCTCATTCAGACCTTTACTGAATCCCAACAACATTCCATTAGTGCTTCAGATTCGCTCCTTTGTATACTTATTTTTTATGTATATATTTGTCTTTGCCAAGTAGACATCCCAAAAGTATAGGTTTCTTATAAATTCTATGTTCCTCTCAGAACTGAGAATAGTACTTTTCTGTAGTAGTGTGGTGAAGAATTATTGGTTCATCCCTCCAGCTCAGAAGCCACCTTCCATAGAAACTTTCTTCTCTCTCATCTAAGGAAGGACGCAGATTTAGAGGAGTGGACTGTTGGCAGCTGTGTCCCCACAACAAATCGAGTCAATTAGAGTCCAGAGTTTTCTCTCCGGCATTTAGGATTCCACTAGCAAGAGAAATGTAGTCTCTTTCTTTAGGGGGCCTATATGTAACCTTTTACATGCTGTGTCCCCACAAAAAATCGAGTCAATTAGAGTCCAGAGTTTTCTCTCTGGCATTTAGGATTCCACTAGCAAGAGAAATGTAGTCTCTTTCTTTAGGGGGCCTATATGTAAATGAAAATAAGATCAAAAACTATGTTTTCTCTGTGTGTGTGGGGGTGGTGGTGGGAAAAACAGAAGAAGCTGGGCTGCATAGGGAAAAGAATGAAGTAAGCCCAGAAAAAAACAAAGATGAGGGTTCCAGAGAAGATGTAAGGAAGTTGCCTTCTAGTTCCAGATGACAGTTGTTGAAGTACATGCCTGGACTGTTAGCTGTTGGCTCTGTAATAAATCAAATGCTCTTCCATTTTCTCTTAAGCAAATTATAATCAATCTAATCTAAACAAGATTTGTGTATATATATTGCTAATGATGACTGTGATAATGCTTGTTGATTGAGTCTTAAACATACTTGTCTATTTACCATCTCAGGAAATGGTGAAATGAAGACTGGGAGATCATGCTCTGTAATACATTACTCTAAATCAATGACACTTCCCAAGTTGAAGTCTTCAGAGCACCTGCATCAAAGCCACCTGAAGTGCTCATTTTACATGAATATTCTTGGATACCATGGCTGACCTACTGAACCAGCATTTCTGGGGTTGGGACATGGAATCTAAACTTTAAATAGGCTTCCAGATGATTCTTGGCCATTAGCCTAATATTTTGTTTGGCTAGACCTGCACGTATTATTCTGATTTAGTGTAAAGATTCACTGCCTAATATAGACTTTGACAGCCAAACTAACATTAAGTGGGGACTTTGTTCCCTGCATTCTAGATGTCTAGTCAAATTGTAACCACTTAAATTCTAGTAGAACTTTTCAGTCTCATATCAAAAAATAAAAACCTAAAGTATTTACAAAGAACTTTAGAGATGGGGTTACACTAATTTTTCAAGGCTCTTGTAGCTGTCATTGAATCCAATGTCAGAGTCCAATTGCTTTTATTGTATGGGAGGTCTCTCATATGATCTAATAATACTGTGCTACAATTTAACCTACTTCCTCCTATTCTAACCATGTTTCATGCCTTTAACCTCTGTTTTAGTCTTAGAATCAGAGTGACACAATTAGCTTCATGCATCTTAAGAGGTCAGAGTAATCATTAATTCATAGTGACTATACCAAAATAATTAGGTGTTTGAAAGTGGTGTGAATTTTCTTTCTTCCATTTTCTTCACTAAAAATCAGTAAAAGTATATTCAAATTTATATGAAAGATAATAAGCCAAAAATTTCCCAAAGTGTTGCTCTGTGGTCTAAAATATTATGTAGATTAATTCTATTATCACAGATAAATACAACACTTAAATATCTCCTTCATGACTGTTAAGGCACAGTACAGTCAATTCATGCCCAGGGAGCTTTAATCACAGATCATTGTTATGATCAAGGGTAGAGTCTGTGTGGGGTATTATGTCAATGGCTAAGGCTACTGATGAGTTGTTTGTGGGAGCATTGCCAGCATGCAGTTTATAAATACTTTCAAGCATGCATTTCTGATCTAATGGCTAAATGAGGATCATCAGAATATCTTTGCATGCAGCAGCTCTCCAAAAATTCTGTATTTAAAGGAGGCCAATTATTGTATTGAATGGATACAACTGAGCTAGCTTGATGCAAATATTATTGTCAATGATTTAAAGTTATAATGGTAGAGAGTAAATTCATGGCTTATTAATGGATTGAGCTATCACATTTTTATCTTATTGTGACACATTACATCATAAATAAAGAATAAAAACAGGGTCATGAAGAAAGTATCACATAGCAAAACAGTAAGAAGAATCATCATAACAATAAAGAGCAGGTTGGAGTGGTGAAACATTTCCAATGGATACAACTGAGCTAGCTTGATGCAAATATTATTGTCAATGATTTAAAGTTATAATGGTAGAGAGTAAATTCATGGCTTATTAACGGATTGAGCTATCACATTTTTATCTTATTGTGACACATTACATCATAAATAAAGAATAAAAACAGGGTCATGAAGAAAGTATCACACAGCAAAACAGTAAGAAGAATCATCATAACAATAAAGAGCAGGTTGGAGTGGTGAAACATTTCTGGTCAGTGAAAACTGACACTCAAGTAAGTTTTTTACATTGTCCCTGTCGGTATTCATTATTTGCCTTGTTTTCTTTTCTAAAAGTCAATTTGCCGCCTCCAGCCCTAAATAAGAAACTACAGAAACTGTTTTAAAGGATACTGCATAATTTTAAAAAGAGCCATTACGATCAAGAGGAAGAATGGGGAAGAAATAAGAAGCAGACCATTTCAGAAAATAAGACAACATGCAATCCAGTGTGAATTTTCCAAAATTGAAAATGCTCTCCTGAAGCCTTGGAACGCAGTAAAGGAAAATACAACTTCACAAATAAGCAAGAAAACAGAGAAAATCTTCCTTATGTTCCATCAAATATTTGACAAAGATGTTGGATTATGCAAATTGAATAAAAGAGTGTCTGGCTCCTGATAGTGGAGGTGGATGGGACCACAGAAATGATTTGTTTATCCAGCATAGTAAGTTAAAATAATTAAAATTTGACTATATGCATATTTTAGAAAGGTCATGCAGATATTCAGATTGCCACAGGCCCCACTGCTCCAGATAGCTTCTTCATGTAATTGTTACCCTTCTCACCACTTGAGATTGAGACTCTTCTTAGACGTTCTTACCAAATGTGATAGGGCAGAATGAAGCTGGTAGGGACTGACAGACCATCTCAACTGCACCAGTTAAGGCTGATACAAAAGATACTAAGAAAGCTAACAAGATGTGTTTTAAGATTCCCATTAAGTAAATCAGGAGAAACCCTTCATGGTGGAATTTGAGCTGCTCAGGCACCCAACCACCTTTTGTTGTTTGGCACAACTATGAGATTAAAAATTAGATGTACATTATAGCTAAGTGAACCTTGGCCTAAAAGAATAGTGATTGACTGGTTATCAATAATTCATAAATTGGCTTCACTATGGGTCCCTGTTGCTGGGGAATATGAGAAATATTCAGTTTTACAACTTTCTGCTTGATAAGCGCCACAATACCCAAACACACACACACACACACACACACACACACACACACACACACAGAGGCTTTTCATTCACGTTCATCAAGAATTCACACATACTCTTTAAGGATTCTGGAATTTTAAGATAGCATTCACTTAACCATTCCTTCAAAAACAGGTAACTTTCTGAGAATACATGCTATCTTAATATCAGCTCTAGTGTTAATTTAGATTGAAGAGCAAAAATCACATATATGTACTCAATAATTATGGAGTTTTTAGACCATGTAAAACTAAGAGCACTGAGAAATCTATTTAATGCATGTCATCTCTTTTCCAGTGTGGATTCTCACCATGAATCAGTGTATTTGGCACTAATTTGGCATATGGAAAATCTTACCAATTCAGTATATTCTATAAACTGAAAAACCAGGAAAGACAAATACTGTGTGATCCACTTACTTGTATATATGGAATTTAAAAACGTCAAACACATAGGAATAGAAAATAGAATGGTGGGTACCAGAGGATGAGGAAGAGGATGGATGGGGAAAGGGGAGATGTTTGTGCCAAAAGGCACAAAGTATCAGCTAGACAGTAGGAATAATCTTAAGTGATCTATTGCACAGAATGATGACTATCGCTAATAATAATTCATAATATATAAATATGTACAATGATTATTGGTCAATTAAAAAACATAAAACCAGAAAAGACTTATCAACGTTATGTAACACCAAGCAAATGTGAAATCAACACCTTTTAAAAGTGCAATTACTATACTGATTGAACAGACACTTTTAGGCTGGATATTCATCGTAAATGTTTATATCAGATTCTGAGTCCGATTTAAAGGAGAAAGCACCAATGAAGTTAATTTTCAAGAATATGGTCAAAAAGAAGAGGTTAGCAACCCTTGAATAATTACTGTCAAGTACAAACACAGTGAATTACCTCATATTCCTGGGAAAACTTCAAGTTGTCATTTGCTTTCAATCTTTCAATGTGATCTGCAAGTTCCAAGATGGGTATTGGAGGGTGGCTAGCCATACCTATTGAAAAAGGAGAGAAGAAACACATCTGAAAACAAATGAAAATGATGCTTACTATTCCAAAGTACAGAGAATACTATAGTTAGAAATGGCCTGAAAATATGTGAGCAGTAAGGATGTTTTAGGTGAGGAAGCAGGCAAATAGTCTGGTTACTCAAAGCAGGACATGCTCTGAAATTATGGATTTTGTAGCCAAATGAAAAGTCACCAAGCATAATCCCCAAACTAACACTCCTAGTGTAAAAGAAAGCGTTATTGTGCTATGAATCAATGAGGTTAGCTAGCGGAGAAAACTGAGTCAGGCTTGATGTCAACTTCTGCTTTGAGTAATGACTGTTATGTCATTTCAAACTCCTTCTCCTGCACTGTGTGAAATGGAAATTGTGTGGAATTAAATGGTGTAAAGTGAACTAAGAAAACAGACACTGAGAAAAGCCTGAAAGAGAAAGAATAGCAGCTTGATAGAAAACGTAAAGTGACTTATGCATAATCAAGGAAAACTAACTTGAAGAATGAAGGTTACCAGGGTAACCGGAATCATCTGAACCTGCAAAGGAAATGGTGGTGTAAATAAAATAAAATTGAACAAATTTTGTTAAAAAAATGAAATGGATAGCCTGATAGACTTTTAAAAAGGATTAATAAAATGCTGCAAGATTTTTCAGGATTTACTACACAATGTGACTAGATTAAAATCGCTTTAGTAATTCACAATCCTATAGGTGACTGACACTCACATGCAAACATGGACACAAAGAATGACATGCACCACAGCTCATTGACAATAATCACTGACAGCACAATCAGACACCAAACTGAGCTTCAAAAATGTTTCCACTAGTAGCAGATTGTAGAGATTGGGGTTGCAGCCTTCTCCTAGACATTTATAAATGGCCACACTGAAAACTTTGTGGTACTTTGCTCTAGATCCCCATTATTCAACCCCCAGAAAACCTACAATCTACTTCAGGTGTAAACATCTTTGTCTACTAATGGGAAATGAATTCAGGAAAGTGAGAAAATGGTGAAAAGGAGGGAAACAAGGTACAAAAAGAAAACAAGCAGAGACAGGGGGCTGACACATCTTAGTTCAGTCTGCCAGCTGAAGATAACATTAATTTTATAGATTCCATTAAAAATAATCACTTAATTTTGGTGATTCCTTTCCTTATCTCTTTCTGATTTTTCCCTTTTCATATGATTTGCATTTTATCTTTTTCTGATTAATATTGCAAGAGTATCATGAGAGAGCATTGCTGACTCATCTTTTACACAAAAATTCCAGCTGGCTAGAAAAACCTGAACTAACCTGCCCCCAGGAAAGTCTCTGAAGCAGAAAGAGGAGGAGGAGGAGGAGCTCAAACTGGAAGCCACATTGACATCCTGCCATCACTGTGACTCTGGAGGGTGTTAAGCTGTAGAATGATGACCATCAAGTCAACATGACATGTGATTACTTTATGGGCATTTTAGAAACTGTGCCATTATTGAAAGTCACCAGAAAAGTTCCTTTATCTCAAATGCCAAATTATAATGGTTCTGGTAAGTTAAGTGAAAAATTACTTTGCTTCTACAAGCCTATACGTTAGCGCAGGGCTGCGAACTGTGGTGGTTTAATTTTCATGGCTATGAAGGTCTGTTTCCAGTCAGCTAAAATCTTAGTGAAGATCCAATAGAAATGAGTTGCTTGGAAATGGAAACTCTTTGTTGGTGATGTAATTACACATTTGGACCAACATTTTGGAGCCCTTTCTGAAACTTAGCGCAGGGCTGCAAACTGTGGTGGTTTAATTTTCATGGCTATGAAGGTCTATTTCCAGTCAGCTAAAATCTTAGTGAAGATCCAATAGAAATGAGTTGCTTGGAAATAGAAACTCTTTGTTGGTGATGTAATTACACATTTGGACCAACATTTTGGAGCCCTTTCTGAAACTTTTCTGAATAGATGGTAAAATTGAACTGATTTACATTCTATGGAGGGAGTGGGTGGGTGGGTGTCAGTGATCTGATAATTAAGCCTTCTCCAGATGAGGCACCCCCAATGGAAAGAATGGAAATGCAAAGGCACAAGAGACTCTAGGATTATTTGGAAATGGAAATGGACTGATATGGACATCATTACAGTGCTTTAACAGAGAAAATAATAGAGACAAAGATGTTTAGACCTTTTCGAGCGAATCGTGGGAGAGAGTTATTATCATATATGGACTGAGTGGTGGTTTGGCTAGAGAGGGAGGACACAGAGCCAATCAGAGAGGCGTAGGGGACTGAATTACTGCTCAAAGCTGCAAAAAGTAAAGCCAGTTGGAGATGGGGAGAAGTATTAGTACAACAGCAGTAAAAGACCATAATAATCAACCTCAGCTGAGATCAACATATTCACTTTTGGCATGCACTGGCACATGGTCTGGAAGTATTACTCTGAAAGCTGATTACAGAGAAACCCAAGCAAGCCTGTACTGACTCATTACATTCTAAATCAGAAAAACAATGTATGTATGTATATAAATATAACATGCAAAGATATCATAGCAGTAAAGAATCATCACTTAAGAATTGTCAGTATGTACCATATTGCACCGAAATTTGTAGGACAAGTAAAAATGGCAGCATAGATGTCATACAGAAAAGGGAGAACTCGTAGGAATCTAATAGCATAGAGGAAGGGATCCAGGCCTAGAATACTAGACATAAGTTCTCCTTCGGGTTCTGACATCTACAATAGGGACAAATCACTTGTTATCAAGCACTTCAGTTTCTTTATCTGTGCAATAAAAGTGCACAACTAGATAAATTCTGGAGTCACTTTTTCATAACTCTCATTTCTACCACATATAGATAGTACTTCTGGGCACAGGAGGGACTCTTGAATATAGCTCATATGCTAGGGTTCTAAAAGTTACTGCACCTTTGAGGGGTAGAGAGTATTTCATTTTTACAAGATTGAAAACTATTATGCAATTGAACTGTCTAGTTTTTGAATTATATGTTTCATGCTTTTTTGTTTAGCTAGTTAAAAAGTAGATATAATAAATTATGGTACATCGTGTATGTGAAAAGTCTGTCAACATAACAATTATGTTGACTAAACCTGGGATAAAACTCCTCTAACCTGAAACTCTTTAGCTCATATCAGGAGATAATCACAAAGAATCTACTTCAAAATCCTGTTTAAAAATTCCCCAGAAATGTCTCCAGTGCCCGAAGTTGAAAATTTTTCTATAATATAACCAAGTATGTTAGATTCTGAATGAAAGAGTAGATACTAACAAAACTATGAAGTTGACCTTATGGTGGTATCTTTTCAATCTTTTGTCCGGCAACCTGGGCATTGCTCACAGCCTAAAAACCAAGGTTTTTATTAGACCATTGTTTTCACATTTGAATCATTTGAAATGCTTTAAGATTTCTTTTTTTGCAAGCTGTATGCCAGACCAATTAATTCAGAATTTCTGGGTGTGAGAGCCAGGCTGATGTTTTTAAAATTCCCCAGCAATGGCTCTTACTCCTATGGGAATACATGATGGGGGCCTGTAACTCCATTTATTACTTTTTTTTTTGCCCCACTCAAAAACCATATCAGAATTTATAAGAATGAGATGAGTTTTCTTCTGGTGATAGCCTTGAATCCCTCCGACTCCCCATTAGTTAGCTTTAGTTCTTTAGTTATTATTAGCAGCAAAATATTTGAAGCACAGATAACAACTGATGAGAACGTGCCAGTGTCATAACCTCGTGAATTCAAAGCTACAAATGTACAATGTAAATAAATGCATTTTAATGACACACATTGAATCTGGGCAGAGTTTTCATTTTGAAACTATGCTCTTCACAATATACATTATCAACATGAAGGATGACAGATGCAGTCATTGAAATCTGCCTTAGGTTGTAGAAAAAACATGATGGCTACTTTCAAAAGGATACATATTTGTGATAGTAATGTCATGATGGCTTCCTTATAAAAAGTTAAACTTTAAAATCATGACATTTGAGGCTGAGAGGAACCTTAGAGATCACTTAGTCCAGAATTTTTATTTTATATAAGAGGATTCTAAAGCTCAGAAAAGCTAAATGACTAGTATATGTTAGCTCAGATAGTAAATAAAAGAATCTTAACATGCCACTTGGGTATCTTTCTACCGTACTATTTCTAGAATGGCAGTTATGGTCTTCTGAAGCAGGGCAAAGTCCCCAGTGGCTGAAGGGGTCAGGCAGGTAAGGTGAACGGTGAGATGACTAGGTATTACATAGCAGACACTTTTACAAAGCAATGCTCTCATCCCCATTTCCTCAAAATAAGCAGACTTTAGGGCTGTCTTTTGTTTCTCTACTTTCCATCGAGGCTCAGGAAAGAGAAATGTTTGCCAATTATATGAAAAATAACAATAAGCATGAAATAAATAGCATCTAACACTTAGCCTCAATGTCAGAGTCATTTTTAGTGCTGAGGTAGACGTGGGGAATTTTTGAGGGGGGAGAAACTATTCAGCACCAGCACTTGCTCTGCCAGGTAGAAATGCAGGGCCAACAAGGTCAGATTTTTCAGGTTTCAATGGCAACTAAAATTCGAGATTATTCTATGAGGTTTCCCTTTCAATGTTGACCCCAAATTTGGTTGAGACCCAGTGGGCAAAGGTAAGACCTTTGCAGGTCATATTTGGCCAATTAGGTGATGACCTCTGTTTTAAAAGAACAAAATCCTCCTTTTGTATGTGTGTGAATTAAAACCAAAGAATGCTGAGAGTGACAGACTGCATGCTTATGTCCACAAGGCGACAGGCTAGACAGCGAGCTTTCTGCTGGGATGTAAAGATGTATATTTCTTATGTGGTTTCTCCTTCGTGGGTTCATCTAATTTTCCCTCCCCCCAACCCAACCCCCATTAATTTTACCAATTAGGAAACAAAGCTTCGAGGTGTTAAAGAATTTGATCGAGGTCATCCTTATCAGCAAAACTATGTCTACACAGAAGATTTGATCCCAGACTTTGTCACTTCTCAGTCAGGGCCCTTTCTCATTGTGCCATGCTGTCTCTCAAATCATTTAAGGCCCTTGAAGAGTGGTGACATGTACCTGAAGCTGGGCCTGTAAGACTGTCTGGGCTATCGATGCAGCAACACAGGTCCATAAACTATCCTCAGTTTGGCCAAATGTGTTAATGTAATAACTTCATTTAGAGTGTGTCTGTATCGATGGTGGGGAAGAAATGAAGGGCATTCATTCTTGCCACAACATTATAAGTTTCCACAACAACATGAACGAAAGGTATAAATTCAAAGAGTTAAAAACTGTACTGCTATTTGGCAGATTAAAAAAAAAAAAATCTAATTTAGAGTGTTTTTGTTTTTCAAATGTTCTGCTCTATTTTACTGTAAGAGTATACTTCAAATGTCTTTATTATCCATAGAGAAACGTTTATCAAATACCTGCTTTATTTTCATACATTTTTAAACCTTGCATTAAATGCCAATAGGCACTTTATAATTATAACTATTTCACTAAGAAGAGCTTTTGAGGTTACTAATAATGGTGATACATCCTTCA